TCAGGATGTCTGACTGTTCGATTCGACACCTGGATTTCAAAGCACTTTTTTGCGTCAACGAAAGAGCGCCCGTATCATGCACAGCTTGTTCGCGCCTATCGACAGTCGCTCGAAGGATCGCGAGATGTCGAGATGAGTGTTAGTTCTCCTTCCTTGGTGGGCACCGTCGTTGGAAATTCAACTGACGTCGTAATTAATGGCCGATCGATGAAGAAACGGCTGCTTCTTGCAGGCGTCGCGGGTCACCCCAAGATGCTACGATAGTGTAATTAATCAGGGCGCCGACATCTTTTTTCGCTCGATTGTCCAAAAGCGATTTTCGTTTTACTTTCTTCGCGGTATGTAATTGACAGCGCCGAGAGACTTGTTACCTTTGAAGTCGAGCGCTCAAAGCTTCAACTCAAAAAGAAGTCTCGATAGCGCGTTGCTAATGACGGGTAAAAAAGTTTATTTTATTAAGAAAGAGCCCCAAATAATTATGCGTATCTAATTAATAATTCAAAAATTATTATTGTATTTTTATCAAAATTAAAAAATTAGAAATGTAGAAATCAATTTATCGAAAACAAAGATCAGATGATAAATAAATGTATACAGCACAAATAAAGTCTGATTATAATTATAGAAAATTTTTAAGACACTTTACCCGTAATTAACAAAATTAACATAATTAAAAGCAACTGCAAAGAGCAGTTTTAACGATTTATTTTCCCCGTAATTCTTGAGCCTTCGAAAGGCTTGAAACCGATGTTCGTCTTTGTTCGACCGTGCAGTCAGTTGGGCGGGCAGGTTGTAACTTCCGGTTAAGTCAAACACGGCGTAAAGTCGCGCGAACTTCGGACTTGGCAAGTCCCAATGAGGCGTGTAATGCCATTAAAGAGAATCTTATTACGCTACGGCACCCTCACGCGCCTCCTACAGTAGGCGCCTTCGCTTCACTGCAACAAGTATCCGCCTAACCTGGTAATTAAGTCCCGATTAATTCTCCGCTTACTTTGCCTGCCAAATGGCGCGAGACAAGCCGACTGCGAGGAAAATTAAGGTCGCAGTATGGAAAGAAAAATTGCCAGTGGCAAGATCATAACGCGCAAACTGAGAACCTCTTGCGAGATTCTGTATTCATCATATTCTGACGGAATTGTTGGTACGCGAGGGACATAATCAAGTCGTTGAGCCATAGTAATATTTGCGTTCAGTTATTCTACTGTCTTACAGCGAATATACGCAATCAAACGCAATTGGCGCATAAACAAGAATGTATAAACTAACTGCTCCATCGATTCGTAATCGCGCCAAAAGAATACAATAGAAATCTGTATTTTTGTTGGCACGATAATTTAATGCGACACAAATAGGCGAGAAAATTTATACAAAAATTGATAATTAGTTTTCCAAGGTACGGAAGTTACTGCATATAACGTAAAATTTTATCATATTCAAAATTAAACAATAATGTATCAATGAAAAATTAGTTCGCAATACATTTCCTTAAAATGCACATAACCTGGAATCTTGTTTATGTATATTATATAGAACGTTCATTTTTATCGCGTACTGTATACGGATCGGAGTGCTCGCCAAGTTTGGTTGCACGAGCCGGCAGGGAAACCTGTAGTAACGGAGCCTCATTCGTCGACCGAACCCATGGACCGCGGGCAAGGGGTGATTCCATGATTAATGTTACAAACAACGATACAACTAACACACCATCCACCTCCGGTGCTCTGCTCGCTCTCGGCCTTGTTGGCTCGGATAAGTAACTTCTCGCGTTATATGTGCCTCCAAGTTAACCGCGACAACTTTGCGACAATTTGCGTGTAAGGTAAAAAATAAAGTTGTATAATATAACGCGCGTAAAACAAATCAATTGATGTAGCGACGGATTAATCGTGAACCTCATGTAAATTTTTTTCCCGAGAAAAAAGTGTTTCTTCATAATTCGTTCGATAAAACGTTCGATAGAGTTCGGTTCAAAATTTGACAAGTTCTTTCGTATTTCCACGTACCTATCCGCCCCGACTTTAACGACGATAAAGTGCGCACGATGCTCCCAAAAGCAGCTCGTAAATCAATACGAACTCGAAAATAACTTCGCAATAATTCACCCGAGCGCAGAGAATCCACACCAACAGCCCCGCGCGCGTTGCCGGTGAGAAATTAAAATAAATCAAACTTATCTGTTGCTCGGGCCACTTGCCGGTGATCTGGCGCGTGTATACGTGTATGCGTACACAATCTAGTCCATGAATCCCCTTGTGTTCGTGTATGCTCGCGTACATTCGTATACAACCGTGTGAGGCTAAACAGCACGCGATAGACCACATCGGTAGACAGATATTCCCTTTAATATTTCTCATAGCTATCCTACCGTTAGTAAATAACAAATTTTGTCACAACTATGTGGCTTCTGAATTCTTAGACACTCGATACTTCAACATTTGCGAAGACGAAACAATTGTGCAAGTATCTAATATCTCAGTGTCGTCCAACGGTGAATATAATGAGGATCTTGAAATCCACTGAAGCTAGACAATTATTTTAAAATCTGCACTAGATAAATTTTAAAAAGTTTTTATAACTTGGAATACCGTTTTAAACAAACATGTTACATTTTAACTCTTTAAAGATGGGTCGTTCGTTCATCGATAGATATTCTTCGACTGCTAAAAGCGTTTGCACTAGCAAGACTAAGACAGTCTCGAAGCTAGGGCAACGACTTATCCACCAGCAGCTCGGTAAATTCAACCACCCCCGTGAATAAATACGGTTAGTGGCCAGCCAAGGCCCCTTAGATCCCTTTGACCGGAGGGGGCAGCGTGCCGAGGTGGTAACTGGTAAGTGCCTGGGGCGACCATCTGTGCCCTTCTGCGCCTATGCCGCCACGTGGATTGCGCTACCGTTTATGCGGCATTTGTTGCAGCTACGCGCATACATTACCGCTAATGTGCCGGGCTAGGTTGAGCACGCGGCATCTTTAGTAGAAAGACGTAAACGGGCAAATACACGCGAACTCAAATAAAAGCAGCGAATTTAGGGATCAGGAATTAAGCTTTCGGGAAAATCCAATTATTTACTTAGTGACGTTTGTTACACAACATTATTTTTACACGGTAATGTGCGTTATGAATTATATATGCTTTACTTCTATGTTATATTATTATTATATATAAGTACAACTTTAATAAATCTTTGCATTTTACGTCCTTACTGAACGCGTAAACGCCGCTGCCGCGTGTGGGGGGCGTTACATTATTCAAACTAATTCCTCATCACAGTCATTCCGACCGCGAAGACTCGTCACTCAGTGGCGCGACTGGCGATTTTATCTCCGCGCCATCGTAACTTACATGGACACCAATCGTGACTAATTAAGCGACGATATCGATCGACGTTCCCGTCGCGCGCTGGAAAACAACGGTAGGAAGAATCGCGAACAATCGCCCCGATTAGTGCGATAAGCCGTGTGGCCTGGCCGGCTATGATAATTTTGCGACGCTAGTTACGGCGATAGTCGGTTTATACGCGTCTCTTACATTATTATCTGTAATGGCCTAACCATGACTAACACGCCGCATACAGGCACACGCGTGTATGAGAGCACGCGTTGTCGAACGACCGTGGCTCGTTTGCGATAGCGCCGCGCTTGTCCGGCAACGTGTGCGAGAGGGGCGTATACCCCGGGTGTCAAGTTACACCACTACGGCTTGGTGACGCTACAATCGTTCTGTCACCCCCGGCTGGTCTCTCTCGCATCGTCGTCGCTGTCGGCTATCGTTATCGAGACCCTACTCCGTCCTGCGCAGAACTGTCCCTGCTCATGAAAACGCGGAATTTTTTACAATTTCTACAAACTCTCTCCATCGATCGTAACTTCTGGCATTTTTAATCAATATTTATTAATAACAGCAATGTGCAAAGAAACAGACACACATTAAGCTGATTGCACCTTAGCATGAATTAGTATTGATTTTTTTTTTAAAGCTATCAAGCTAGCATTAGAACAATTTGTGTAAAACAAAACTTTAATAATTTCATATATTTCAGAAAAAAATAATATATATTGTATATAGACATGAATAATGCTTCGAATAACATGATAAAAAAAATTACGATGATCGTTCGAACGAAAGAGGGTGCGGAGAATAATGTCGACGTGAAATGAACAGTCGTCTCCGATCCTAGATCTCGCGCAGGACTCTACCCCAAATTGCCAATTTTATCGATAATACGGATCTGGTAATTCGATAGAGATATAATGCAAATTCGGTTAATTGTTCCTCCCGAAGAAGAAGAAAGGGGAAGATCGAAAGGGACCAGTAGCGGACCCGCTTTTTGCCCTTTTGTTGCCTACGGGGCGGATGCTACGACGGGGGTTGGTGTTGGGTATCTTACTGAGATCGAGTTTCCTTGTACATGTGCTACTGACGAATGTACGCGACTGACAACGACGCGCGTCGCGCTTTTATAGCAGATGGCATGGATTTGTTTGGCATGCCGTTCATTATTAATTCATGCGTAAAACAAAGCCCGTCACACACACACATTCAATATTTTCAATTTTAAATATTAAATATTTATTTAATATACGAAAAGAACTTTTCGCGTATAGTATATAAAAGATTTTCAAATTTCGCACTCAATGAAACGCGCGTCATAATAGCAAGTCGATTATATCAATCGTTATAAGCAATCGTATCAATAATTACGGCTTTTTCGCCGCATCAAAACAATTTATTTTCAGATCTGACGCAATTTTTAGATCTTTTAGCAAAAGTGTTCTTTCCGTATATAAATATAATTTATATTTAAAAAATGTTGTAATTATGTGATTTAAAAATAATGAATTGCACAGTACATGACTTGTGCAAAATAAAATTTTTCAATGTTAAGATAAGAAGGAGAAGTATTTTCATATTATATTGTTAATTGATAAATATATAAATCGCAAACATAAGAATTGTCAAAATGCGATTTTTAATAACACACATAAATTCACTCACCAGTGTTGTGCCGTAGCTGAGTACGCTTTCCGCTGCATCTGGAAAAATTAATATTTATTTTATTAATCACTATTAATTATTATAAATAAACAACATATATACATATATACATATATTGTCAATACATTGTCATGTCAAAACATTTTTTTCTCAATTACGAGCACATTTTTTATACGTGCGGCTAATTAGACCAGGCAGATACGAGGGAATCGAAAGCTTCCGCCAATTAAAATCAGCTCGCAACCGCATTGGATTCTCATTTCACGAAGCAAGCGGACGATCGCAGCCCCTAATTTTTTTAAGTGGCCGTTTAAAGGGTTGCCGAGCCAATTAGCATGCTAATCGGAAAACCAGCCAAAGTTTCGACGGCGGTCCGACGCCGCTAAGCACCATGGACCGAGAACGAAGCGCATTCCACAAAAAAACAGAGGCGTAAACGAGTCGCTCGAGCCGCACTACACCGGCCGGCCTGTACACCCCTACACTCAACCCCGGGAGAAAGATAAGAAGCTAATTGCGCGCGACCACTCATTCTCGCCACACCCGTGTAAACGAACGTGCACCTCGCGTGACGTTGTGCGCTTTCACGCACCTTCCCTACCCACCTTTGATAGCGGCGCGACGCACGTACGAACGAACGTACACCGTCAGATCTGGAATTAATACGGTCAATTGTGCTGGGTGCCAATTGTAGGGTGTATTCGTAATAAAGAATATAATAACACGTACAGACATTGATAGTATAATGCGATTTAATATCAGTGCATTTATACGCATTTATATAATTGTTTATTTGTTTTACGAGTAAGTTTAAAGATACGAATGAATTTGACTGATTATTCATCAGTAGAATAAATTATTAGAATAGAATTACATCATTTTATGCAATTTTGATTATTTATTCTTCTTCGAGCTTTTAATTGTAAAGAGGCTTTATAACATTAAAGATTCGATTATTACATTAAATTAACATAATTGGCAATAATTACGGCAATTGTAGCAATGTACGATCATAGATTATAATATAAGTAGTCATTGATTTTTTACTACTATCAGATATCGTTGGACGTTTAATGCAATTTCTGATTCTCTTCTATCATTTGCAAAAATCATACGCACGAATCAAAAACTTATTGAAGAACACCGGATTGCTCGTACTGACAATCGTTTCGAGAGAACACGGATCATTCGATTCCGTATCGCGTTAGCGACGGCGCAAATCTAATAGAGTGCCTGCAGCATCAAATGTCACTGCTAGTTGTGGGGGGGTTGTCGTATTGGAGTTTTTGATTGGCTAATCCGCCCAAATCTAATCGAGCGCGCCCCGTCCCTACAGTCCACGAATAGAGAACGTTTCTATTCTCTCATTCGGGCCTGCCAGAATTCAATTACGACGCGAGATCTTATGATCGCCTTGTCATAAAACGATACATATTGCGCAAAAAAAAAAAAATTGCGACAGTATATTGCATCGATAAATTGCACGCATTGATATCTGTAATATAAATCACGAAGCTTCTGCGACCAAGTTTTAGTTTTATGTTACCAGCAAAACTGAACATTTTCTTTTATTCATGTTAGGTTCTTAGAGGTAGATAATTAACTTCCAAAAAAATCGATTTATTACTGCGCGCCGCAATTCAATAATTTCAACGTAGCGTCCCAAACGAGGCATGCCGCGACAAATCAGTCAACTATAGTGACGAGACGCATCCGTGATGCGAGGGGCGAAAAAATAATGTGCCACACGAAACCGGTTTCCTATTGCATCGAGACTTTCGATCGTTTATACTTGGTCCAGCAGCCCCAACTTGGAAAATATCAAAGCCCCGCGTGTACGTCATGCGATAAATTATTCTCGATTCCGCTCTCTCAACGACCGGTTAGAAGACGTACGATTGGTCATTAATTCCCATCCGAACGGTTGAAATGATTCTTTTCATATCGGCACCGCACTACGTTCTCCGTTAGCAGACTCCTGTAGGACGCACATGCGTAGATCCGCAATATGACCACATTATTAAATCGTGGCTCGTCGTGCAATTTAGTCCTCATTCTACTTGCGCACAACATTTCTTCCCGGAGTCTCTGCATTCATGCATTTAGTATACGTTTTTTTTTTTTTTTAAAATGAAGATCGATAAATTGATTTTTTTTTTTTTAAGTACGATTCGTAAAGTTTTGCAATAATTCTATTGAAATATAATATTCGCAATCAGCGCAGATTCTTGCAAAAATAATAAAGTTTAAAAAAAATATCGTAAACAGTATTAAGACGCACTTCGAATTGGAAATAAATGTAATCCGTACATAATCGCAAATTTGAGAATCAACTGCATGACGCAACAGTGCTAATTTTGTACATTCGCGCGATTACCATAAAATCGCTGGCGTTAGTAATGCTCATAACTGGCCGTTTCCTCGTGAGAGAGAGAGAGAGAGGGGGAGGGGGGCGAACGCATGAGAGAGAAGGAGAGAGTTTATCGAACCGAGATGTTGTACTTGCGCGAATATAGACATCCGACACACCCTAAGACCGAGATATCCGAGGTGCATGCGAGGGTGCATACATTGTGCCGCCCCTCTCTGCAACGACGCCGGGCTAACATCCTCCCTCCTCCCCCTAAGAGCCAATAATACCACGTACTACTACGACGGCTTATTATTTTCCTACGGCTCATCGAGCCCTCTGTGCTCGCTATCAATTACAGGACATTCCGCGCGAAGCCCCCTTGACAGACTTAGACGGATCAGACTAACCAGAATCCCATCTGGTAAACTTTCGCGCTACGTCCATTCACGCACCGCAGTAACCACTCGAATCCGTAACCACTCGACGCGCGAACTAAATCGATAAAGATCGGTCGAAACTTCTCGCGAAGAAAAGTGGAGATATTGAATAAAATATCGCAGTTTAGCTTCAAAGAACGAACGAGCGGTGCTGTGTGTCGCGGCGCACAGTATCGGGATTTAGGAATTCGTGTAAGATGAGGCGCGCGCCTGTGTCCCCGAGTTTGTCGCCAAAAAGTTGTATTGAATCTACTGAAATATTATAGTATGATTACCTTATCGAATAAACATGAGGCGAAAGGAAAAATTCGTAAAGCGATGCCGAAATGTCACCCAGTATCGCCGGCATCGTGCACTGCCGTGTATCGAGAGACGGGGACGGTCAGACATATATGTAAATCGAAATAACATTATCCGTTGCTCTTGCGGCGGTAGCGGGACAAAAGTGCACGGAAAAAGGG